CAGACTGTCAGCGGGGAGGAGGAGGAGGAGGAGGGAGGGAGGGAGGGAGGAAGGGCGCGGGCAGCAGCGCCGCAGCCCCGGCCGCCCTCCCCTGCCAGCCGCCGGCCGGGGCTTCAAAGGAAAACCTGGAGAAAAACCCGCTTCGCCGGGAGAGGAGGGTCCGCAGCCCCGCGCACACACACACACACACACAACACACACACAAAGGGACTCCATCCTGCACCGACTCCTCTCTCCGAGCACCTTGTGCACCCCCAGCCAATGGAAATTTACGCCGGCCATAACCCAGAGCAGGATTTCGTCCCCAGCTTGCCACCTCCTTCCCTCCGCTCTTCTCTCCCCTTCCCTCCCTCCCATTCCTCCCTCTCTTTCCCCCCCCCTTCCACCCCCACCCCCCCGCCCAAATAAATAATACGGATCCGCACCCTCCACCCAGCTCTGGAACCGCTTTAGGCCCAGCGGCATAAGCGGGGAGAAGAAGCCGAAACGTACCGGAGGGCCCGAGGTTAAAAATGCAAAATATCCGGCGCTGCCGAAGGCAGGTCCCCCCCGGCCCCGGCCCCGCCGCCGCCCGGCCGGGGGCAGCGGTAACAGGCACCATTACGGAACCATCATCATCATCATCATCATCATTCACTCCGTCCTTTTCTCACCTCAGGAGTCTGAGCCCATTCACCAAAGTCCTTCCTCGTCCAGGAGCTCAAATATTTTCTTTTTTTTTTTCTATTTTTTTTTTTTAGTTTTTTTTTCTATTTTTTTCTCCTTCTGCATCAGCCAGTCCCGACATCATTAAACTATAGTCCTCCTCTTCCTCCTCCTTCCTTCTCCCCCTCTCTGTCTCCCCCTCTCCTTTTTTTTTTTTTATTTCAAAAAGGGGGAGTGGGGGGGGGTGGCTGGGAGTGGGGGGGAGCAGACATAGCTGCATGAAGTGGCTGCCTTTTCGAAAGCACATTTAATCTTTCCTGGCTCCCCTAGGCTTCGATGAAGTAGAAGGGAAAGGAGAGGAGAGGGAAAGAAAAAATCCAGGCAAGGGAGGCTGTTGAGGGACAGCAAGCATCAGGCTCAAATCAACGACCAGATGAAAATGTACTAGACCACACTGCCCCCTCTCTTCCTCTCGCTCTGTCTCCGTCTCTCTCACACACTCTCACTCCTGGAAAGCTTCAGTGTCTGGTTACAGACTCTTTTGGATCCTTCCCCCCCCCTCCCCACCCTCGCCCTTTGCCAACTATCCTAGAGATTCCTTGCATGCCTACTTAAATCTTTAACAGAATAAGGACTCGGCTCCCCCCGCCGCCAGCCCCGCACACACACACACACACACTCACACGCTCGCACACACCATTCCCGGTCACCCCTCCCCAATAATCTCTTAAGCTCCCGGGAGAAACCCGCCGGCGCATCCCCGTCCCCGCCGCATCCCCGCCGGGTACCAGCCCCGGGACCCTCCGGGCAGCCGCTCCCGCCCCACGCCGCCTTCCTAAGGGGGTGCCGGGGGGCCGGAGGGGGGAAGGAGAGGGGGAAGCGGAGGGGCTGCAGCCCTTCGCCTTGCATCCCTCCGGCTGGCTCTGGATTTTAAAACAATAAAATCCAGCGCTGCTGCTCTCCCGGGTGCCCCCCGCTCCCCCCCTCCGCCGCGCCGCAGCCGCCCGTGGAAATCGCACGCCCCGCGTCTGCAGTGAGGCAGGGCAGACTGCCTGGCTCATGCCCGTGATGACTTTAGAGCTGACAACCTCCTCTCCTCGACCCCCCCCTTCCCCTCCACACCCACCCCTCCGCTCAATGGCAGCACTGCTGCCTCTCGCACCAGACTATATTTGCAATATGTGCTAATTTACCAGCTATATGCCCTTGGATTTTAAAATGAACTCATCAGTCAATGTTTCTAGTAGCGATGCTCGCTCTCCCTCTCCCTCACACACACCCTCCACTGCAGACATGTTACTCATTCTCCAAGCATTTCCTCTCCCAATGTCCGTCAGACGCATATACACTTCATTGATCAAACCAAATCCCCTGATAACAATAAATAATAATACAGACAGTTAACATCAGCGGGGAGCAGAGCGGGGGGGGGGGGGGGGGGGGGGGGAGAGACAAAGATGACGACTAAATCTGCATTGTGCCTTAGGAGGCTGATCCCTGCGTTTTCCAGGGATGCTCCACACAATGCGGGGCGCAGGTACCCCCGAGGGCGAGCACACACCTCGTCCTGGGGGCCTTCCTGAGACACCCCCCCCCGTTTGCCCAAGCGTTCAGGCTGGTGATTTCTAATCCCTGAATCCACACAGGCTCCAAAAGGTGCTCGTGTAGGAACAGAAGGTGCTTCTGGCTACGAAGCACCTACCACAAAATACAGCAATAAATAAAGGCAGTTTCTTTGTTGCGCTGTGCACTGCAGAGACGCCGAGGAATTAAAGGTATCCGGGCATCCAAAGACCCTGGGATGGGTCCAAAGGATTTTTAGGAACACCTTCTCAGCTCCCACTGGAATCTGTTTCCTTTGTACTGAAGACAGAGAGCACCTATGCAAGAAACCAGGTTAGGAAGACGGGCTATTAAACATCCCTCTGCTACACGTGCCGGGTGTTTCAAGGGCTTTAGGGCTTCTGTGGCTTTATTTCCTAGTTTTCTGGGGCTGAAACAGGGGAGGCAGGAGACTGGGATTGCCTCTTGGGATTTTGGCTAGTTAGACATCTTGTGTGGGTCTGGCAAAGGGAAAGTGGCTGCAGTGTAAGTGTTCGGGAAGTTGGGGAGGGTGGGGCTATCTAGAAATCTTTGACTCACTGGGGTAACTCCCTGAGCACAGGAATCAAATTATTGCTCCAAGCAAACTGCATTTTATGAGCAGCAGCCTCAGAGTGAAATTCTGCATGCACACAGCTAAAATAAACGCATGGAAATAAGTATACAATACATAATTAAATTATTGGGTGCAATGCAGAAGTCCCTGGGTGATGGAAGAGGTGGGATTATGCAGCAAAGTCAGTCTGGGAATCCACAGATACAAATTTTCTTATTTATACCAGCATAATCCTGATTGGCATCAGCCTAGATAGGGGAAGAATCCAACCCTGTGTACTGAAGGATCTAATCTTTGGGAAAAGTAGACTGGATTAGAGACTCTATCTGCCAACCATCCTTTCACTCCCCTTAGATTCCCTCACCATCACAGCAAGATTTTGCCATCACACAGAACATTCTGCATCCATTGTCTCCTTCCACTTCCCTTATCTTCCTTCCCCCCAAAAAATGTTTGATTTTTTTTTTAAAGTTTTGTAGCAAACACATAATTTCTTTATACAATTTTACCAAGCCTTCGGAGGATACTTATTTCAAGCAGTTAACACCTGACCCCAATTTTTGTGGGTAATTAGTGAGCTAGATAACCACACAAAGTGGGTAATTATTTAGTACCCAAGGGTACTGTACAAGAGGGTAGAGGCTGGCAGTGTTAACAAAAGCACATCTCTAATTATTGTATCCATACTGGTGATGTTTTAAGAATAGTTACTCCACCTAATGATCCATGATAAATCAGTAAACTATTTTGCTTCCCTTAGCATGTATCCCAGGGATGACCAGGATGTGAGGGCAAAGCAAAGGGAAGCCCTGACTTCAATATGTTCAAGAGAAGCACGAGGCATCCACTTGGAGAAGGAAGCAAGACTGGAAGTGCCTGCTCTAAAACAGCCTAATAACCATCCCTACCAGGTAACAGGTTGGTTGGGATGGCTTGAAAAGCCATGTAGGAAGCTTCTAGGGCATGGCTCGGGGTCTGCTTCCTGCTTAGGTAACGTGGCCACGCTGATGGATCTTTGTATACAACCATAACCTTCATCCTGTTTTAACAGAGTTCACTCTTGCTCCCTGAAAATCAGTTTAAAGCTGTACAAATGAGGTGTCTCCTGTTTGGGGCAGCTCAGAAATGCCAGAGAGCAGCACTGTGGGGAAAAAAAAAAATCCTATTTGATGAATTTCAATCCTCTGTCGCCTCCAACATTTATGTTGCAACAACCACATTTCTCCCATGGAAAATATTACATCCTTGGTTGAGTTTTTCCTCAAATTTAAGAAGGAAGAAATGTGAACTATATTGAAATAGAAACCAAATAAGAAAGATTCAGCTGTAAATACATATGAATTTCTCCAAGGTGGGTGCCAAGAGGATGGTGCCAGACTCTTTTTGGGGGTTCCCACCAACAGGACGAGGAGCAACGGCCATAAAGGAAAACATAACAAGTTCCAGCCCAACATGGGGAAGAATTTAGGGTGGCAGAGCACTGGAACAGCTGCCCAGGGAGGGCATGGAGTCTCCCTCTCTAGAGACATCCCAACCCCACCTGGACACGTTCCTGTGTCACCTGCTCCAGGTGACCCTGCCTGGGCAGAGGGGTTGGACTGGGTGACCCCAGAGGTCCCTTCCAACCCCGACTGTTCTGTGACCAAAAAAATTTGGTTTGTATCAGCAGAACCACAGGATAAGAAATGTTATGCTGGAAACAGAGCAGCACACGCTCACTTTTAGGGCATCTTCAAACCAAGACATTACGCTCAGAGGAAAAGCACTTTCCTTTTTTTAATTGCTTTTATGAATCATCACTGACATCCAGACACTTCATTTACTCGAGTCCAGTAACCCTGTTTTTCAAAGGCTCAAATTCCAAAACCTTGAGGGCCAAAAAAAAACCAAAAAAAAAACCAGAGGTATCATTCTAGTTTGATCACAGCAATGAACTCAGCTTGGTGCTTTGGGATCATCCAAACCAGGCACTCCAGAAGAAAACACAACTGGCAGCATCACCTGGCCCTGTGACCACCAGGAATGTAAAATCTAAACAGAGAAAGTTTGAGGGGTTTCCACAACTCCTCATATTTCTCTATTGTTCTGTGCTTGGGGTTGTTTTTTTTTTTCTTTTGAGTGAAATAACCACAACTGAAAGAGGCCCGAAAATTGTTCTTATGTTTAAAAAGGGGCCAAGTCTCTGCAGCTCATTTATAAATAAATAGAAATAAATTGGCCTCCCCCTCAGTGATCCTCTCAGGGACCTGGTTTGCAGCAAAAGTTCTTGCAGAAATGGAGTGAGAGGAAGTTTGCAGAGAGAAGCTGGAAAACAGAAAGGAAGAATGAATTTAATCACAGAGATGGGATCAAAGCAAGAGGAGACCTTGGTAGGTGCACAGTTAGAGCAGAAAGTAGAGAAAATACAAACTATTTCTTTCTTTTTTTTTTCTCAGATCAATTGGAATTAGCAATTCATAGGAGAAGGAATGTTCAGCCAGGGAGGAAGCTTTAGGGACTTAAGCATTAACTATAAAACCTTAAGGCCTTTCTGAGACAAGTCAATAACTTCACTCTGGGCAAACTACACAGAGATTACTTAGGAAATATCTCCAAAATAACACTTACAGCTCAGCTATAGGGAGAGAATACATGGGAATAGTTTACAAATTAATCAAATGTCTTCAGAGGAGTAAAAAGCATTTACTAATACAAACAAAGGATTCTAATGATGTGAGGAATGGTACAAATTCACAGTGTGGGGCACAGCCATGGAAAGCAAAACTGGGCAAAGGCATCATGACTTGGGTATTTCCAGAACATCACTCTGTAAAGTGAGGAGCTCCACAACCAAAAGCTTCTAATTTGAACTTGACTGTTTTGTAGACCACTGGCCAATTGCACATCAAGTCAGTGATAAAATCACTTCTTACCTTGCTTGCCCATAATACAGAACCACCACAACAACGCTCACCGTGTCCTGGGAGGGACTGAGGTCCTTGGAAGAAAGCTGCTGTGTCCAGAGTGCTTTTGTCATCCCCATCTGATGCCCTGTCAGTCAACAGAGAGGATGGAGTGTGGCTGAAGGTCGTGTAAAATTCCATTTCACCACCACCAATTCCTTTTATCCTGACTCACCCACCAGCTTTCACCTCCCAGCCCAACAGGGTATTGCCTCACCCAAGCACTACCCTGACAACAGCACAGCTTAAAAAGTGGTGGTTGTATTTTCTCCCCATTCCCCAGCTCTGAAAAAAGGTTCTCTTTGAGCTCCAACTCTACCAGTCCCTGGATAATGGAGAACAACTGAAATAATAAGGTGAAAAAGCCATAAACCAGTTGATTTCCAAGGGAAAAAGCAAAGTGAGGCTTTGCTGTTCCCCTCCTGGGAAAGGCCCTGGGACACTGCCCCCTTACTGAAACCCATGTTTGGGGAAAAGGGAGAGGTTCAACAAAGGGTCAGCCAATATCCCAGAGGAATTCCAAAAGAAAGGTTACAGAGATTAATTCATCCCCTATCAAAGCAGGAGAAGTGGGAATTCTGTCCCCGGAGTTCTGTGTGTTTTGTCTGTGGGGAGTCACCAATCTGCCCTGGTCCGTGAGTTCTCCCAAACACAACGGATTTGAGGGAACTAAAACTCAAGGTGAAACTCCGAGTTATGTGCCTGAAGTCATGCAAAAAAGCACTACATCTCCTCCTGAATGATCTTCCAGTTCCACAGCACAGAAAGCACCTGAAAACCCCTCATATTTCACATTTCCACCCAAAGTTTCAAAGAGGACTCGATTCACGCAGAGCACAATGAAAGCTCCAAGAACCTCACTCTGATTTCAGATAAATCTAACCTGGTTTGGTGATGCAACTTCTTAAGATCTGATATTTTGAAATATATCAGTTACTAAGAGATGGATTTCTACGAACACATTAACCTAAAAGGCTGCTACAGAAAAAAAAAAAAAACCTGTCTGGTCAACATTTAATGTTTTTTTTTTTAAACTTCACTTGGAATATCAATAGAATCATTGCACGAAAAATAGGGTGTCTCTCAATGAACTCTTTCTTTTCTTTTCTGAAAAAGCCAGTGAAAATAATACCTGTTGAGGATGTTCAATTAGAGCCCAAACTGCTGAACCCAAATTCAGCTTCAGAAACACGCAGAAAGGTTGGGGACATTTTGGGAATCTGAGCTGGCAGGAAAAGTAGAAAATTAAGTTAAAGTTAGATATCCATGAGACTAAAAGCAGCACTAGAATGAACTGTATTTCGATAGGAAAGGAGTGCTGGGGTCACCTGTAAAGGAGAGACTGTAAATCACAGACTGGGGGCCTGCAGCCCACAGATCTTTTCCCATCTCCTCCAGGAATTCACTGGGGACTATTTTCAGTTCTTCCCTACAGAAAAAACAACACAAATTGACAACATAACTATGGCACCTAAGAAAGGAGTTGGGCCTCTGAGCCTTAATTAATGTTTGTAAAAGAGCCCTGAGAGACTACAGGGACCTGAAGAACCTCAAAGCACAGTAATTCCTAAACATCCCCTGATCTCTTGTCAGACTTCACCCTTCTCACCACCACTTATTTCTTTTTAAAGAGAGGGTGGAATTATTTAAAAGATAAAACAAAGATACGTTTCCTTGGTTTTCTAGTACTACAGCTGTCACAATTTAAAAAAAAAAATAAATTAATTAACACATGAGGGCTTATTTCTCGCATTAAATAAATACATGTCTTAGGCACTGCAAAGGTGGGACACCGAAATATTCCCTCCAGCTGGTTGGTGGGTGCAAGGCACTGTTCCCTGCCCAGGGAGAGGCAGGAGCTGGCTCAGCAGCAGGCAGAGGAATCCCGGATCAGCCGTGCTGACAGTGGGGAGGATCCAACAGCCCTGCCCCTGTTCCAGCCCTGCCGCTCCACGTGCTCCCTGGCTCGGGCAAACCTCTCCATCCCTGCTCCCTCTCCTGCCTGCCTGATGCACTCAGACTGGGGACAGGGAGTCTCTCCTCGCAGGGTGACTCCAGGATGCCAAGACATTTATTTAGGTGTTGCTGTCAAAGCAATAACAGGCCTGGGCACCTCGACCCGAGCCCGTCACAGCGGCTCCTGCTCAGCTGCTCCACTGGTGCTGAGAGCAGACTAAACAGCACAGAGCCAGGCATCCAGGGGGATGTGACAGACAGAATGAGTGTCAGGAGGCGAGGAAGACACAGCAGCCTCCGAGGACTCACATTTGGCCCATCAGACGCTGCTCAGCCCCTGCGTGCCAGGAATAGCAGCAGGAGCAGGCGCGGCAGCTCCCGGTGCCATCCACACTTCTGCATCACTTCACGCTGCACTGCAGGCTCTGCTGCACCCTAAACCCAGAGCTGCTGGTTTCTATAATGCAAAAGGACAGCAGAACACTGTAATGAGACAGAAAATGGTGAAAACAAACAGAAAAACCTGAATATCCTACTTACTGTGATAATAAATAACATTAACAGGTTACTTAACTTGCTGTGATAATATAAAACACTAACAGGTTACCTAACTTGCTATGATAATAAATAACATTAATTAGGATTTCTCAAGTGTAATAAAAACCTTTTCAAGATGATTTTACTTACAAAAATACTGTTAGATTATAGACATTGCCAATTTTAACTCTGTAGAACCAGTGAATGGCTGTCAGCACAAAGGCAGTCCATCGGAAATATTTCTTCACAGAGATTTCTTCACTTGCAATTCCAACATGACTGTCCCTGAACAACTCACACAAGATCAGTTCCTCTGTCTTTACAACACTCCTTCTGAGGAACAAGGACCTCTATTTTGTAGGCAGGGAATAAAACCAAAGAAAAATAAGTGACTCATCCAAGACCCCACAGGGAGTCCAGGGCACAACTTCAGGGTCTGCACCAATGGTTCCAATAAAGAAAAATAAATTGTTTCACTCTAAGGGTAGAGGCTTTGCCCCCATTAATAATAAAACAGGACAAGCCCCAGGAGCTGTACACAAACCAGAATCCCTGGCAGTGGAGACAATAATAAAATGGCAAAGCTAATTCACCTGGTGTCTCTAAGAAATCCCACCTCGTGTTTCCCAGGAACAACTTCCATTAGCCACCAGAGTAAACACCAATTCCCTGGGACCAAGCAGAACCATGATCCCAACCCTGGCGCCCAGAGAAACCCTTCCCAACATAATCTACACCTGGGATGGTTCAGTAACAGCCCCTAATTCTCATTATCTGACCCACACAGGTGGTCTCCTGCTTCCCTCTCCAACGGATTGTCCACACGGACCCAAGTGCAGCAGCAGGTCCCAAGTGACCATTCGATCACTTTCTTGCTTAATTGCCATTTTTAATTAATTGCCTGGCAACAACAAAAAGCCAATCTAGCAACGGAAATCCATTCCTTCAACAACTTCTGCCTCTTTCCTCAGACACCAACTATTGCTCCATAAGCCATTCCTGATTAACGTGGGGCCCTCGTGGGAAAGCCACTGCCCGTCTCCTGATTTCATTTCCTACGACTTCCCTCCTTCAACTGACAACCCAAGTCCCCAAAAAGCAAGGGCAAAAGATCCTTCATTTTATTGTTACAAGATGACAGTGGTTTTTTCCCCCCTCGCTATTTTCTTTCAGGAAGATATATTGGCACTACATTTGCTCCTCCATGTGGTGGGATTTCTTAAATAAAAACGTTATGTTGTATATGTATGAGCTCAGGACCAGAGCTGCATTAGCCTGTTAACTATCCACGTTTGCTTCAGACTTGGCCAGCCACCTAGAAAACCTGCCAAGACCTTTCTGGCAGCCTTTTCCCAACAGTTCCAGGAAAACATGGAATATTCAAAGAATTCGAGGGCCTCCCTGCTTCGTTTGTCACCACTCTCCTTGCCCACTTAAAACCAAAT